ACCAGTTGTGTTTTGATGGGAGGAAGGCTGAATTTTAGGCTTTAAGGTGTGTCTAAGTCATGTTTTCAAGCTTTTCTAATTAACAGTTGTCTAAAATGTACTTTTTATTTCTGCTCATAAAAGTGATAATTTTTATTTGTTCACATTTGAAAAGAGCACAATAATAAGAGATTTCTTACAAAGTGATAGTTGGCATCACTGTGCCAAGTGGTATGGTTTTCATATATATGCCCTAACACTTTGCTGGATAAATTACTTCTGTCTAGTATCTCCTTCTCAGGGAGATTTTTCTAAAGCCCCAGGCTTCACCTTTCTTAACGTCATTTCATTATACTGCATTTCTTCTCCCCTCTATTGCCCTAATGAATCCTTTCATTTGCCCCAAAACCAAACAACTCCCTGATTCCTGCTTCTCTTTGAGTTCTAGTGCCTTGTTTGCCCCATTTCCCTTAGGACTTAATTTCTTTATCTGTAAAGGTTTAACTGCCCCAGCTTTAGTAAGGCTAATTTGAAAAGAATGTTAAGATCCTCAAATAAAAGCATAATGAAATGATTTAATATAGTTAACACAAATCAGTTTCTTGTGTTTTTCCAGCTCATAGCATGAAGTGTCCTCCTGAGTGACATTTGCTGTGTTCCTGCTAAAGCGTGCTTATTCTGTTGCCTGTGTGGTTATCCACCACTGCCTACGGAGACCTGCTTTAATACCATCTGATTTGATCACTAGCTTGGCTTCATAAGGAAACAAGTGTCGTGATTCTCCTGGCTCAGCCTGCAGCTCACCACCACCCCGCCCACTTTTGACCCAAGGGATCAAAAACATCAATCCATCTAAAGAAAGGAGACTCAAACATAACCTCTTCCTACTCGTGGTTTTGTGTAGCTAGCTGCAGTGACCTTATTAGTCCTCTCAGAGCAGCAGAAAAACCCAGGGTATTTTCACTTTCGTGCTGGGCTGCTGGGCTAGTCAGTTGGCATGTACAGGGATTACCTGGGCAAGTGGGCGGCAGGGGCTTAGGGTGGCACGGGAGGCACTGCAGTCATTGTGCTGGATGGAAAACGTGGACCTGTGGGAAACCAGTCTTTGCCGGCACGGCCGCTGGGCAGACCTGCTTGGTTTTGTGTCGCTCTGAGGACGGTGTTAGTGGGCAAGCCTACAAGGTGGAGCTGAAAAACCCTGTTAGCTCCAGACTGCAGCTGCCTTCAAACCGCCCATCCCGCTCCTGGGGTGTGCTGCTCTGCCTCAGGATCTGTCGCTAGAAGACAGCTTCAAGCAGCAAGAAGGTTGAATCCGGTGGTCCTCTCAGTGGGTAGGAGTGGTGTACATAAGCTAGAGGCTGCAAAGCTTTCTGTTTCAAGCTGAGCGAGGAGAAGATGCACACAGTGCTCTCCCGCAGAGATGACACGGGCTCTCCTCCCCAGGGGCTGCAGCAGCTCGGAGGACAAAATGGCCCCAGAGCTCCGCACACGGTGATGTTCTTTGGAAATACAAAGGTGCGGTGTGTTGGCATCAAAAGGCATCTCCATTTCATAGGTACCACTGAAATGAGCCAGGCAGGGCCAGTTGTGCTGGTGTGCTAGCTCCCATGGAGGCCGTCTGCAAGAACGGGCAGAGCCCAGCTCTCCCTGGTGCCGGCCATCCCCACGGCCCTGAGGGCACAGCTGCTGTCGGCTGCTCGCGATAAGGCCATATTTCAATTAGATTCAGAAATGAAATTTATATCTTTACGAGTTTAGCCAGCTACTTGTTCAAGAGTGACTATAACTTAAAATTTTAAACTTTTATTTGTGCCATACTGCACACTGGACATAGTTACATTATACACCTTTTGAAGTCAGGCTGAATTTGATAGCATATATACTTTCTAGGCCCCTTATAGAGATCAACAGCTGCTGACTGGGATGTCCTAGGAACCACCAGACAAACTGGGAAGGGGGAAACACCAAAAAAAAAACATCTTACAAAGAGAAAAGAAAGAAAGAAAGAAAAAAAAAGATAGGAAAGGAAACCCCAAACATCAATACCGAGAACGTAAGCCCCAGCCCTCAGAGGCGGCCTGGCTTGCAGGCAGAGGAAGGCGGGTGCTCTGCCGGGGCTGCCGGCAGGTGGAGGCCGACGGCCCTCACGGGAGGCACTGAGCTTCCTGCGGGGACGGCAGACACAGCACAGCCCCCGGAGGAGACTCTTCTCCTCTGTGCCCTGTGGCCTCCCGCTCCCCAGCACCACCTGGGCCAGCAAGATGAAGTGGAGGAGGATCACGATCTTTGCTGTCTTGCAGGCACGGCTCCCAGTCACAGGTAAGGCACGCTTTTATTTCATGAGGAGCTGCTTTAAAGCTCTTCTGAGGAAAGAGCACTGTTTCTGTGGCGGATTCCCCACCATTTTGGTAGCTGGAGGGTATCTGCATGAGGATCTCTGCCATGTCTGTCCTTGCAGTCATGGCCGCCTCCAAACAGGGCAGCAGGGCTGGTCGTGTTGAAGTGCCCTGTGGTGAAGAGACCCTTTGGAGGGGCTGGGAGGTGGAGGAGAGGAGGGTGAGGGCAGCCACTGCTGTCTGTGTGGCCTCTTCTCCTGCCGCAGCTGAGCAACTCTCCATTAAAGGCAGCTCTTGGCCCTCACCCGGGTGGCTTTCTTTGGGATTTAAAAGGGGCAATTTGATGCAGTAATGAAAACGTAGTCAATCTGCACAAAAGAGGTTTTTTATTTAGTTAGGTAAAATCAGAGCAGTGTTGCTCGTAACAGCATGTTGGACGGTTGGTTTGCAGAAAACGGCATACGCGGCAGGCTGGAGATAGCGGGGCGCAGGTGGTGAGAAAAAGGATAGGGTCCTGCCTTTCATGTCTCTGCCTTCGTCCTTGTCTCTGCTAGACACAGCGTAAAATAAGGTCATTTCTACCTTTATATCTTCACACGTGGTGGTGTATATGCTGGCCCCACTCGGGTAGAAAGTGAAGCAGCTTTGGTGTGCACAAATCTTCAAAAGGGAGATAGGAATGTACTTCTTAGTAGATCAGAAGAGCAACAAAATTTACATCCAGAGAAGGCCTAAGCCAAGGCCCAAGTTTGGAGAAATCAGCCAATACAAGTAGGCCATGTTTGAGAGTGTATTAAAGCCAAATCCACTGGAAGCATTTCCCCCACTGTATACTAACTGTACTTAAACACACCACCCTTATGCTGAAGAGCTCTGGCGACTGCCACAGACTTTTTATTTGAAAGTTTTCTGGAGATTAGAGGAGGGTTTTGCAGCCACTTGCTAACGCAGTGGGACCAGTTCTGGTAACTTATGAAGGTTTTGTCTAAGGAGGATTTTAAGCAGAGTTGTATGGTCTGTGGTAGGCATGCCTTCTGTTCATCCTCCATTCAACCTCTGGGGCCTCTCTCCCTTTCTGATATTGAAGTGCGATACTGTACTTAAGTACGATACTTCTGGTACTTACATGTTGTACATTGCTCTGTATCCATAGAAGAGTATAGGGCTATAAAGGTATGGAAATTACTTTAGGACAAAATGCATCTGCAAAAAATCTTTTTGTGTTTTCTCCTTTTAATCTGTCACAAGATATCCATAGTTCAGGCTCCTATTTTTACATTTTTAGCAGAAAACTTTTATTGAAAAGTATGTAATACTGTTTGAAGATGGGCAAAGTGAGCCCTGTAGGGGTCTCTGGTGCAAAGCTCTTAGGGGTATTCACACTCACAAAGAATATAGGGGATAAAATTTTGAACAGGCTACTGTTGCCATTGATTTGGAGATGGTTGCCTGTGGATTTGAGGGGAAGTATTTTTGATTGGATACCTATAATAGTTCGAAGAATAGTAGTATTTAGCCTAAGAGTATAGGCAGAATAAAAGAAATGTAGCACAAAAGTTGTGGAATTGTTGCTGTGGAATTATTGAAGCAAAATGGACAGTGACAAAAATGTAAGATCACCATGAATTTAGTTCAGAATGACACCAAACAGATGGGTTTTTCAGCTCAGAGCTAGGAACAAAAGCAAAGATCTGCTGCTGCCTGGAGTGTTTTCAAGCCTTCTTAGAGTGAAGTGAACTTTTATTTTTTCATAAAACCAGCTCAGAGAGGACAGGGATTCAGTAACTGCATACCATCTTACAGCGAGTTTGTTCTACTTCACTGTTGTGCATTTTGTGCTTATTCTTCAAATGGTCAATTGAAAGATGCCACCAGGATTGGGACTGATGGTCTTGCAAAGCCTTTCCTTATGATTTTTCTAGTACTGAAGTAAATATATCAGGCATGAGAAAAAATTGTTTCAAAGTAAGTAATTCTAGAGATGGGCCACAGATTCTGATGCAGATTTTGAATTATTGACACCAGACCACAAATTTCAGAATGCTCAAACTTGGCCTTCAAGCAGTTACAGGAGGAAGCTATATCAATACACACTTAGTTTTCTGTGTGTCCCCCTTCAAAGGTACAAAAGTATACATCTGGAAGTTTAGCTGAGGTTCTCCTATAACCCCCGTGTTAAAAAGTGTGTGAAAATAAATAATTTTAATTTCTGAGCAGATGACTTTATTGATCATGTTGTTTGTTGAGACATAAGAAGAGTATTAAAAGGCTTCTAGCCAAATATCACAATTAAAATGGCAAAAATCTTTGAGCTTTTAGTCTGCAGTTAGACAGGCTTCAATGGCAATAAAACAGTACCGTGGGCGCTATTGTAGAATCGCTCCCTTTTTTTTTTGTTGTTAAGGCTGATAAGATGACATTTTGATTTGTACAAATAAGCAACACACATATATATAAATATGTGCACAAGAGTTCTTCAAGGACAGCCCTTCCCTGTTTTTCACTTCTTTACAAAATCACTTTTCTCAGAATTATCTGCTAACCAGAATCGGACAGTGCCCTGTTTTTTGCTAACTCTGTGGAAACTAAAACATGTCAGCCTTTGGCAGATATTACTTGCACTGCTTATTTTCACAATGTTTTGCTGCTCTGCATAACTGTGTCTTATGCCTATTGGGCGCCATCATGCCAGGAGCCTTTTTTAATCGATTCGTGGACAAGAAGATAAAATGGATAAGTAATGGGTCTTAGGGTTCATTTATTCCTTCCTTTTCATCAGATGACTTAGCAGGTCCACAAATGGCAAGATTTGTAAACTAAAAGTTGTTTACAAGCCTATCTGGGAAACTCAAACAAGTAAATACATATTATTTGGTTACCATCCCCGTGTCCTTATGCGCTGTCTCTCAAGTTCTCCTAGCTGAATTCTTGTTACACCTAGGGGAAAAAAAAACCCTAAAGACTTAATTTTACATGTTTTATTTCCTTTTTCTCCTGCCTGTTCACAATGATTCATTAATAATTCATGGGAAAAAAACCCCTATGAATTGGCGCATTAGTGAATGGAACAAAATGTAGGCAAATGTAGCCCTTCTTGTAAAGGGACATTTACTGAGCTCTTGCAGTGCTATATTCAACTCCCTAATGCTTGTTATAGAGTAAGCGCTTTCGATCTGAACCCATCCAAGCAAAATTCCTAATGAGTGAAGTAGCAAATCAAAGATCGCGTTCCTTTTTGGTTTTTCATGTATGCTAAATGGAAAGTATATACAAAATAGAGAAAGCTGTCTCAAAATATATTTATATTTCTCCTGTGTAAGTGTGTCCTTCTTAAGTAAGACTATGTGGATAAAAAGCCGAAGTCGGGGAAAAATAGGAGGTTCACTAGTGGCTTATAGGGGATGAGAACTTCATTTTATAAATGAATGTTCATGTGAGGAATGCTTTTGACAGCCATTTTCTGGTATTCACACAAACGGGAATTGTGACTAGCACCATGCGTAAACCCATAAACAAGGAAAAAAACCATATATATAAAAATAAATTATTTGTTTCCTAAGTATCTCCAAGCTATAACCAAACTCACTTTAAAAAAGAAAAAATACTTGCTTGCACAATTGCAGACAACCATCCCCTCCTCCAATTCATCATATATTTGAACATCTATATTGTATGTAGAACTGTAAGATGCATCAACTATTCTGTCAAGAAAATAGAGTACGTTTTTAGGGTGGCATTAGTGGAAGAGACAACTTCTTAAAAATGTATCCTGTTAAAGGTATCTACTTTTTCCATGTGCATGTGTACTCGTAAGCATATTGTTGATTTTCACTGTTCTACTGATACAACTGCAGTCAACAGTTAAATTGAAGTTTCACTGCTGGGTTGTTTTTTTAGCATTAAGAAAACAATATACGCTGTTCCAGAGTCTGTGAAAAGCTGAAATTTTGCAGGTTTTTCAGATTTGCACTGTTATAGAATGTAGTATTTTGAGACCAGGTTTGAATAATGTTTTCTTAACTAAATTCCGTTACGCTCTTTCAAAAAAAAAGTAATATTTTTAGCTTTTAAAATATGACAGTCCAAATCAGATATTTTTTTTCTGGAAATCAATGAAGGCATTTAACTTCACTTTGTCCTATGCAACTGATTTATAACTTCATCCATAACATTAAAATGTGCAGGCAAATGAAAAGTTTACTTTGCAGTCAGTCTACTTATTCAAACGCACCGATGTCAGGAGACAGTGCAAATGCATGTATTTAGCCACATACAATGGATATATCCATCTTTGTGAAAGCTAGACTTACCAATGTGTAGTTCTTTCAGTTCTTTGACAATTTAGCTATTAAAAATAGAAATGAAAACAGCTAGCTCCCAAGCCTCAGAGTTCACAAGCACTGGTGTCTATGCAAGTTCTGTTTAAGGGACAGAATACCTCTCAATTTTTGAACCATATAGATTGGAAATATTTGAATCCCTTCAAGTTTCCTAGGAATAAACCATCAACCTTTGGAAGACCTTTATGTATCTTGTTCTCAATACTTTGTTATATGTCTGTCAAGTCTTACAAGAAGAAGAACAGCAAGCATGGAGTTTTCCATCTCCACGTACTTTTGGTATGTGACAGTATGTTAAACATTATGCTTCTGGCAAGTAGGTTGCGAAGCTTGATGAAATGCTCGTGCTATTTGGCCTATTTCTTTCACGGGATGTTATTGTAGTGAAGACTTCATATATATCCTGACTCTTTCTGAGTAGCAGAACATTTTTTTCATGTGTTATATTTTTAAGTGAAGGAGAAGCCATAATGATAACGCAACTTTTTGAAAGCTCAGACAATACGGAGGTGAAATATATGCCAAATTAGAATTTGATGGAAGCTGACAAAGGAAAAAGGTTGGAAAATTGTTTACAAATGATAGCATAAACTGTAGTAGGGCATACTGAATACTGGAGGGTGGCTAGTTGTCAACACCTGTGGGGCTTTTTTAAAGAAATCTCACCATATATGATTTACTTGAAATTCAAGCTGTTGTCTTTGGTGAAAATCTTAACTTTCACCATAAATAAACTTTTCTAGTTTCCTAGTCAAGTTTTTTAGTTTGTAAAGGAAACCTTGAAAATGCAAGCCTGCATGGCTTCAGAAACGGAAAAAGAACAAACCAGCTATATAACTTGTCACTTATAAATTTTTTTTTAAGGTGATTGCTATTTTTGGGGGGGTGATAGGCTGGCCTGCCTCAGGATGCTGCTTGCTCGTGGTTGGCAAGCACTGAAAATAGTTTCCTGGTCAAAAAGAAAAGCACATGAAACATTTAGAACCAAAGAACAATTACAGAATATTTTCTAAGAGCCCCAAAATTTGAATCGTAAAAACTAATTAGCAACATTTATTATTAAAAAAAAAAAAAAGACAGTAATGTACTGAAACACTTTTGTAATGGGATAAGATGTGATATTCAGGAAATTAATGAGGGAATACTAATTTGGGTGGTGTTTTAATTTCTTTTTAAATAAGTGTACATTGGCCATAGAATAAAGGAAAGAGCTACGTGACTAAAAAACCCTTTTTCTCATTGTTCATCCAAATGTTATAATCAGTTTGTTCCAGCCAGGAGCATGGGTGTTTTGCATTCATTTCACTTAGAATGTTGCTGTCATCGGAATGACAGCCAAACCTGAAATAAACAGAGCCAAATATTTTTTAAAAATGCTTCCCAAATATTTAATGCGTAAGTATGTATGGTAAATTCATTCCAATTTCCCATGGCATCTATCTCATCGCAAAACAGCAAAATGTCCAGCTGGTAATTATTAGATGGGTGAGAGCAAACCATCGTAATTGCAAGGATCCTGCAAGTGGATCAAAGTTCTTTGCGCGGACAATTTTATATAGGAGCAGGGCCCAAACTGATTAGATACTTTCTTTGCAAAGTATTTATTTTGAATTAATTAATACAGAACTTCAGCTCAAACTAAAAATTAACATATGATAATTTATTAGTTATCAGATCAATTTGAAACAAGAATTTTGTATAGTGTGACAATGTCACTTTTTAAATACTCTAAGCAAACATCATCTCAATGAAAGAAATCAGCTTCCTAACGTTAGATACTGAGCGTTCCTAGTTATCAAATCTTTGTTTTGTCATTCAGAAATAGCTGAATGGTTTGAATGATGACTGTAAAAAAGTATACCTAAACTGGATTCCTGGGCTACAACCTTACAGCTCACAGTTAATACAGCAGAATTTTAAACATTTTCAAAGAAAAATTTTGACTCGTATCATGTTATACATTCTAGCCATATAATTCCTATAATTTTAGATCATTTTTTAAGTCACATGTCGGCAAGCTTCAGTCAGAGAACCCAACATCAAATCTTTGGTAGGAGAAGTCATGTCTGTGTCTATC